TTACGGAACTATTCTGTCGGGTTTATAACCGTTAGATCATCATGTAATCGTCGGGATAGTTGATATAACGATTACAACCCCGACGAAATGATTTCGTAACGGGACCGTAACATCTCCGGTTAAGTTATAATGATCACATCACAACTATAATAAACATTTCTTGCAAGAGCTACTCTAAACTCTAAATACTTAAGAGTGAAGACTATAGTCTATGTAGCATAACAAGTTGAGTGTGTAAAAGATTTTGGGCAACGAAAACACTAAATAAAATAAAATAAAAATAAAAATGTTACTAATATTAAATTTCAAGCCATAATAAATATTGACAGCAACGTTACCTTCAGCTCAAACGTTTCTTTTGGGTGAAGGGTAGGTAGGTCCCACCTCTATCTCCCCAAAACATTAATAAATGCTCAAACATTAAATGGTACTCATCTTAACCCGCATTGCAAGGAACTATGAATTTTGGAATTATTATTTATTACAAAAAAATTGAAAACATTATTGTTGTTTCAAATTTTGAAATATTAAAGACTGCCACAATTTCCAAAATGATGATATAGTGAACTTTTATGTAATAAATTGGCACATTCGAAGTGGAATTACGTTTATACTGTAAATAGATTGCATAAATGGAGGTATATTAATTAATTGTGTGGCATACAGCTATGGAAGAACTCTGACAATAGAATAGACGACAGCTCAAATTCAAATATGTAGAGGAGTGTTGCAGTAAGAAAAACAAAAATACACTATCTTGTATGGTGCAATACATATATACTATAAAATATTATATTTTTATTTTAATTATTTTTTTAAGGATGAGAATTTAATTTGGAAGTATTGTTAAAAATATATAATTGCCTGATAATTAGATTTGATCAACAACAAACTTACTAAAGAAAAGTATTTTTAGAGGTGATTTCAAGTAGGGCTGAGCATGGGACTCGGAGAATTTTGAACCGTTTCGAAATCGAACTGAAATCACTCCGAACTGAAAAATAACTGTTTATCGTTTGACTTTCTCCGAACCGAAAAAATAATTGGTACGGTTTTGGAGATTTCACAAATATCCGTACCAAGAACAGAACCGAACCGTCCCGTACAGTATTGAACCGAAGAACCGAAATTAAGAATCGAATTATAACATTAGATGTGTTATTAATATATTTTATGTCAACTTTGATTCTATATAATATAGTAATAAATATTAGTTTTCACTTAAATTTCATGCTTAGTAATACTTGACCTGCAATTGAATTTTTTCTATTATATAATAATTATTTAAAATAATATGAAAGTTTAAATAATATTTTTAAGAAAAAAATTATATTTTATTAAAAAAATTTAAATTTTCAATATTAGTTGCACAAATTTAATTATAACGAAAATTTAGAGTTACTTATAAAGTTGATTTCAAAATAAAATCTTTAATGTGAGGAAGTACTGATGAATGTTGGTTTTATTAAATCTATATATATATAAAAAGAATTACCATTTTTTTAAAAATGGCAAGTCAAACTGTGGTCAAATATGATTGAACATTAATTGCATGCTATTAATAGCAAGTTTTTATTTTATTTTTTATTACAAATGTGCATCATTAATTATTGCATTTAAATGTGGAGTTTGTTAAGTGGAGTTTGTTATTTATTTTTGCACAAGATTAGGTTGTTCCTTTTTCATTTTCACAAATTAAAAAAAAAAAAAACTTTCTTTAACATATAATCGTGTACCACATTACAAATTTTATTTTATTAAAAAATAAATTACACCTAATTTAATAATATAAACTTACGTTAGTATTTACAAAAAATCAAAAACTCTTTTAACATCAACTCGGCTACTACAATAGTTTTAATCGAATGCTTTTACTTTTTTAATAAATTACAATTCATTTATTTGGTGGATTTGGTTCATTTAATAAATTACAGTTCATTGAAACGCCTAAAAGATAAATTGGTGGATTTGGTTCCATTAAGTTCTACAAATTTCGATCATTGAATATAATTTAAAATTCAAAATCTTTTCTCATAATTTATTTAAAATATTCAGTTGTGTTTTTTATTCCAAACAATCAGATTACCGAAAAAATTACCTTAAAACTTGAATTGAAAATTTGAAATCCAAAATCCCTTCTCATTTTAGTTGGCATAAAATTGGGTTTAATTCAAAAATCTCAAATTGAATTTAAAAATATCTAATCACATGCTTCTATCCTTGGATGCTAACCTTAAATGAAGAATTTTGCGCAACTTTAAAATTAACAAACCACTTGAAAATTACAATTATAATGAATTTCATTTTTTTGGTTTCAGTTTGCACGAAATTCAAAATGGTTTAAGAATTTCAAGCCAATAGAAATTCATCTCTTTAATTTCTTTTCATAAGTTTCAAAATTTTACAATAACTAAGTCAAATTACAAATGTATTGTTTCAAAAATCAATAGGATAATTTTGAAAATAGACAGTTTTTTTTTTTTTTT